GTACTACAAATCTATGGTTTCACCTCTTTGCTGCAGTTTGTGGACAGAACATACGTCATATTGCACGGTCTATGGTTGTACTACAAATCTATGGTCTCACCTCTTTGCTGCAGTCCATGGAGCGGTTGCTAGGGACGCCGGTGACACAGGAAGAGACCACGGCCAGGTGTAGGAGGGGTGACAGGAGCCACCAGATGAGCATGATGGGGGTGGCAAGCCATGGGGGCCGGACACTTGCCAGCCTGCACCGGGCCGACGGGGGCGGCGGGCGGGGGGACTTCCCTGGCCCGGGCAGCTCACCTGCCCCCGGTGACCCCGCACGAGGGCGGGCCGAGGTCAGCGACACGGAAAGGATGATCCAAGGCGTAATCCAGGGGCTAGGTAATCCTGGCGGTGATCCAGTGTCTAGTGACGGTAATCCAGTGGCTGGTGAAGATAATCCAGTGGATGGTGACGGTAATCCAATGTGTGCTGACGGTAATCCAATATCTAGTGACGGTTGAGGTGATGGCAGGAACCCTGGGCCGGGCTCAGGCGGCGGGAAACATTGCAGACGATGAGACAAACTACTCCATAGCACAGGCGGAGGGGATGAGAGGGTGACGGGGATAATCCAGGGGGCAGTCGGGGGGATAATCCGTGGAATAATCTAGGAAATAATCCAAGGAATGGTTTGGAAGATAGTCCAGACCAACAAGCCAGCAGACAATCTGGTCCAATCACGATCTAGCTGTCTGGAGACGTGGGGGAGATATCCCATACGTCATCGCCTGACCCGGCGAGCTGTGGAGGGGACGGCCGCCATCTTGTCTGACGTCAGGGGCCGGAGGTGACGTCACCACGAGAGTGTGTCACGAGCCGAGCGTGTTGTTCCGACCAGAACAGGGAACGACGGCAAGGGGGGCTGGGCTGCGTGCACTCGTCAACACACGAGTCATGAATAACGGATGTTGGTGGCGGGGTCAAGAGGGAAGAAGCTCCCCGACTCAACACTTGAGCTTCTGGAAAACTTCACAGGACACCACGGGAGAACACCGGGGATTTCAATCGCCGCTTCTAAAGGTTGGAGATTTTTTTAAACGAGAAGGAAAAAACTCATCCCTTGAAGCCCTATTTGGCACTATAGGCTCTAAATTAAGGAATTCTTCTCCGCGGAATGAATGATTG